TGGGGTGGTGGGGTCGCAAGGTGTCGCGATATACTTATCTTGCACCCAAGGATTCGACTAATGGTGTTGTTCCTTCGCTACTTTAATAGGTGTCCTAGTTCTCCTTCCTGTTTGTTGTAGCCGCAACCCGGGTTTGCCGAGATAAGGCAACTTGTCGGAAGGTGCATGTCATTTGTCTGACTCGGGGGTTATCGTGGTTACCCTGGGTTGGTGCGTATTGCAGTCCGTCCATTTTAGCAGTCCTGACTGTAACGCCTCTTCTTAGTAGTCATCCAAATCTTCCTTTTCTTTGGTCAAGGTCCTTGTCAAGTCTTTTGACGGGAGTTAGGACGAGGCGATTTATCGGGTAAGTGTACGTTACCCAGTTGTGGAAGTAAACTTATCTATTCGCACCCTTACATGGTGTGGTAAGCGTAGGGGGAGGCTCCTTTAAGTTAGAGAGGGATGAAGTGAGGGGAGGTTATGTGTAGGTTTCACAATCTCACTGCGCGTCCTAAGATTCCTGGATCCTATGTTCCTAAGTACCTAGAGTTCAAGCCTAGTGTCCTAAAGTCCGGTCTTAAGAGTCTTATCCTAGGGTCAAACTTAAGCTCTGATACCAACTGTAACACCCCAGATTTTCAAGACATTTAAAACTTATAATAAAGGTAGAATCTTATTAAATCCCAAGATATAAATACAAGCGTTCGGGGTGCTATGCCACACCTGGGCTAGAGAACCCAAGTGCACAGGCTAACTAACTAATATCCTCAAAGCGTAAATACGTAAACGTGGCACGCAGGCCAAAAGGGAAACTATCTACTTCTAAGTTCTAGCGCACTCCAGTGACTTAATCTTCTGTGCCTGAAAGCCAAATATATCTGTTCAGCGAGAGATGCTGGTAACCCACTCCAACGCGTTGAAATACAATACATATAGAGATATATATAGATATACGAAAACCATTTTGAGCATGAAGATATATCCTACGAACTCTAGCTTTAAAACCAGGAATGACTCGACAGATAAGGCCAGACACAAGCAACAGTTATAACGAGCATATGCAGTTCACAACAGATAAGGCAAAGCATAAACAATGATCATAACCCATCATGAACAATCCCCAATATAAATCCCATAGTCACATCCCCCAAGACACTCGTAATCACAACTCGTCCATGTCACAACACATAACACACTTTGTTGGCGCCACAGGACCAATCGCATGCCCATACATGAGGGTCAGCGCATATAGCTCTGACACGGCCCCGCAGCACCCTGCCCTGTATCGCAACACGGAGGGGTCGATCGCAACCGACCGATGAACCGCAGCTCATCATAGTGTTTGATCGCAACCAAACAGTGGACCGCAGCCCAAGAGAATGTCATCTGACCGTAGCCAGGAAAAAAAGACGAACCGCAGCTCGTATAGAAACGTTTGATTGCAACCAAACGGTGGACCGCAGCCCAAGAGTATCAATCTGACCGCAGCTAGCTTCTGAACCGCAGCTCAGGATAACCAATCCGATCGCAACCAAATTGGGGTAACACACACACACAACACGTAGCAAGCACATGCAACCCACATTACACATTGGGAAGGGGGAGAAAACGTATAACAAAACCTATGTGTGACCCATCACATACTAAGAATAGCCCTAAGGGGTTCATACTCCTTCCACCTAGGTTATCGGGATACCAATTCAACTAGCATGCAATATAATAGACTCGTAAACCTACGAACGGTACCCGAGATATCAAACTAGACATAGGCACGATAAACGGAGTCCGTTGGGACACCACGGGGAACAGGGGAACATCAAACGGGGAAGCCGGGAACCCAAGGTGGGGGAAATTCCAGCGGGTAGCCGGTGGGTGGGGGCCACCCGCCGGCTGCCCGCCGGAAAGTACTGTTCCGGGAAGCGGGTCGCCGGCGGGCAGCTGCCCGCCCGGCGGCTCCCCGCTGCCGGGCGGTGTTTCACAGCCGTGGGTAGGTGGCGGGTCCCCTACCCCCCCACCTACCCCCCACTGACTCTTTTCATCAGTTTTGTGCCCCGGGAACCATTGTGGAACCCGAAACCATGCTTAGACACCTTACAACGCAATTAACGACAACACGTAGACAATTAACGGATCAAATACGAGAAACCAACGGCACATAACCTATCATGCTTTTCTAGACATAATCAACACCCAAACATGCGATTTCCCCACCCCACAATCCAAGAATCATAACATACGATACAACCTAGGGTTCTAATCTCTTTTATATCAACAAGGATACGATTCGTCTTCTAATTTCAAGATTCGGTAAGAATAACACATAACCATCAAGAGCATCACACAATTATCAAGAACAACACATAATCATCAAGAGCATCACACAATTATCAAGAACAACACATAATCATCAAGAACTCCATATAATCATCAAGAACTCCATAATTATCAAGAATCTCCCAATATCAAGATTATCAAGATCCCTCTTGGGATCATCACATCAAACATCAATAATCATCATCATATCTCGCCAATCACAATAATATGGGGGAAACCCTAAGGGGGAATCATAGCTATGAAAATAGGTTTTGTTGAGACATGGGTTACCTCTTAGCCTTAATTAATTCCTTGGCTATGAAGGATCTTTCTTTAAGCTTTCTTGATTTCTTGATTTCTCCTAAGGGGATTCTTGGAACTCTTTGGGTGGTGAGAGATTATTGTGGTGGGGATTCTAGGTGCCTCCTAAGTTCCCTATTTATATATTTAAGACTCCTAGTTAGGGCCTGAATGGTATGGGTTTACTAATTCTATTCCTTATAGGGCTAGGGCTTGTTTTAGAGATAAGGGTCCACGGTCCATAGTGGACCGTATTAATTAAAGAGGATCCTAATCATAATCTGAATAGTAAAAGGCCTACTTCCTTTATTCCTAACAGGCTTAAGATTCTTATTCGGGCAAGGGAACACGGTTCATGGTGGACCTTACTAATTAATTAAAGGTAAACCTAACATAATTAAATCATACTTAATTATTATTAACGGGAATAATTAAATAATTAATCCGGGATTGAAGGCCGTAACACGGGGTGTTACAGAACGAGTGCTCACTCATGTCTTCCCCCCCCTCCCCCCCCCCCCCCCCCCCCCCCCGCGGACCCTAAGGGGGCACGAGGTCCGGCCTCGCGTACTAACCCCGACGGAAGACGCACCCTAAGGGGGCACGAGGGACGACCTCGCGTACCAACCCCGACGGACGAGCCCGGTGGCACAGTTCCGTCGGACTGTGCCCGAGCAGCTAACGCGCACCCTAAGGGGGCACGAGGTCTAACCTCGCGTACAAACCCCGACGGAGGAGCCCGGTGGTTTGGTCCTGCAGGACTGGGCCCAAGCGGTTTGGCGCACCCTAAGGGGGCACGAGGTCCGACCTCGCGTACCAACCCCGACGGGAGAGCCCGAGGACATAGTCCCGTAGGACTTTGTTGAAGAGGCTAGCACATGGCAAAAAAAAAAAAAAAATATATATATATATATATATATATATATATATATATATATATATATATATATATATAAAATACCGTGCCTACCTCGGCCAGCTGCCGAGGCCGGCCTCGGCAAGCTGCCGAGGTCTACCTCAGCAACTGCCGAGGCCGACCTCGATGAGTTGCCGAGGTCCACCTCGGCAAGTTGCTGAGGTCCACCTCGGCAACTGCCGAGGCCCACCTCGGTGAGTTGCCGAGGTCCACCTCGGCAACTGCCGAGGTGGCAAAAAAAAAAAAAAACCAAGTATCTCAGGGAAAGGCGATAGCAGGTAAAAGGTGGCACCCGTTACTGAAGCAAAGGAGCAGTAGCCATAATATCCAAGTCTAGCACATGGCAAAGGAAGGAACAAGTTTGTGCTACCTGGGTAGTCAAAATAACAAGTCTAGTACATCACCAAGGGTGAACAAGGTCGGCTACTTTGAGCTCGGGCCATGTGCGTGAGGAAGGCGTGGAGCAAGGAGGTGGAGCGGCCCAAGACGTCTCACCACGGCGCAAGAAACCTCGACTCAAGACGCCTCGGTACAAGGCACCTCGGCCATGGTGAGTTCGGCTACATTCGCACATGGAGGTCGGGTCCGGATATTTACTCTCATGCGTTGACTCCTACTCGCAACGAAGAGAGTGGGGGACTCATGATGGATATATTATACCCACGACCCGACCCGGGGTAGCAACATGGACCCGGAGCACCTTGGTGGAGCCCAAGAGCAACACGGAACCGGGAGACCACGGAGGTGCCAAGAGCAACACGGACCCGGGGGACCACGGAGGTGCCCAAGAGCAACACGGACCCGGGGGACCACGGAGGTGCCTAAGAGCAACACGGACCCGGAGGACCACGGAGGTGCCCAAGAGCAACACAGGCCCGGGGGACCACGGAGGTGCCTAAGAGCAACACGGACCCGGGGGACCACGGAGGTGCCCAAGAGCAACACGGACCCGGGGGACCACGGAGGTGCCCAAGAGCAACGCGGACTCGGAGCACCATGGAGGTGCCCCGACCCGAGCCGACCTACGTGGAGCTCGGCACCACCCGAGCTCGGGACCCGACCCGACCCGGTCCGCCCGGGCCCGGTCAAACTTGAGATCTAACCACCCCCGATTTAAGGGGAGGCGATTGGGGGGTTTGCTTGTATAAAAACCCCCCTCCATGTCCTAACAAGGGGCAATTCAATCCACATTATACGATTATTACACACTTTTGTCCTACGGAATCTTTGTAATAGCCAAATACTACGGCAATTAATATAATATACGGTCCACAACGACCTTTACGACGTCGTTCCGTATTTCGTTTATATATTATTTATATAACGTTCTTGTCCGGATTTATTGATTCGGGCACACCCCCGGGTTAATTAAATCCATCAACTTCTAATTAGTTCTTCAAATTGATATTTCATTGATTGACATGTCTTTCATTACATGGTAGAAGGAGCTTCGTGGCATTATAAAGGGTACCGATTATCTCTATGGCTGTGTATCTTCTCCAAGGTCGATCAGTTATCAATTTTTTTTTTAAATCAGGATTCATATGTCCATTGTTTGTTTATTGATGTTCTATACTTGTTTATGCTGTAGACAATTAATGCATATAAGTTTGAGCGTCATGCTGGTTGTAAAACAAAACACCCAAATAATCACATTTACTTTGAGAATGGGAAGACAATTTATGGGATTGTTCAAGAGCTCAGGAATACACGTCAGGATTTGCTGTTTGAAGTTATCTAGACAATCAGTGGATCACCTATTAACCAAAAATCCTTTCGTATTTGGAAAGGTTCGGTGATCACTTATTTTTGTTATACTTCAAATACCTTTCTCATGGTATATATATATATAAATGGTTTGTGCTTTTCATCTATTTGTAAGCTCTTTCTTTATCCTCAGAATCCTTTCTAGCTGCTACACGTGAACTTCAGAGGATATATGGGAAGGATGAAGGAAAACTTTTGTCTTGAAATAGTGACAATAAAAAGTGATGTATGTTAAACAACTGAAATTTCCATGAATTCTGGAGCAATCTTAACTGCTGGAATCTTAACTACTGCAATCTTAATTTTATGAAATTCCAGCAGCTAGGTTGCTCTCTGTTTCTGTGAGCTTTGCAGGATATATTTTGTGAGTAGCATAGGAGCACAGTGCCAAAATTAGCACTTAGCATATTATTTAGTACTAGTGTAAGTAAATTGTATTTAATTTATTGTTAAATCATGTAAAGCTCAGGTAAAACACCCAATAGTGATCATGAGGTCCATGATTCTGATAAAATGCTTTTGATTCTATCACTTCCAAGAGAGTTTCACAATCAGGTCCACATTTGTATGATTTCATTAAATCCGAAGAGTATTAATAGGATTCTTTCTTCAACTGTTTCCATGAAGTATAAATGAAGTACGTAACATAAGAAAATGAACCAGCATCTTCCCAAGCTTTCCAGAATTGACATAATCTATCTTATGCATGTGTGCTAGGGTCTTCGACTAGAACTTCTTAATAATGCGCACCCAAAGCTGCTTGAGCTGATGCAGAGGTGTAGGGAAGCAGTTCCTGGCAACCGGCCATCGTTCTCTGAGGTAAGAGCAGAACTTGAGGAACTTTTACATGAAGTTTGATATAAAAGAGGTCAGAGGTGTATATATCATATATGCTTTACTTTTATCTTGTGTAGAGGAAATCAAAGTAAGCTTTTTAATTGACCAGTGAAGGAGTAGCCATTTCTTGTGCGGTAGAGTAGAGAGTAGAAATTGGGGAAGAAGGAGTTGCCATTATATTGAATTTTTTGTACTAGTGATTATATATATATATATATATATATATATATATATATATATATATATATATATATATATATATATATATATATATATTTTTGAATTTCTACTTCAGGCTAGATTTTTTCATTTGTTCACATTACTTCTCAGCTTCTAGAGTCATTCTTCTAATTCTTGCTTCTTATTTAGTTGTTTTTGTTGAAAGGCACTCCATAGTGTACATAAGTTCTTCTTTTGCTGCTCTTTTATCCTAAAATAAGTAGTGTGAGTGAGTTGTCGAAATGAGATAAAGAGTAATAGTATTATCTTTTGATTATCATGATCAAGAGTTAATGCCAAGCTTGATTTTGAAAAAAGAATATTTTCTGTTCATTAATTGTATGAAGTTCATTTTGTTATTGTTTCCGGATAGAAAGCTAGAGGACTGTGAAGCTGCAGAACAATATTGTGCAAATGTTGGTAGACCAGATGCATATATGCGGTGAGTACATCCTACAATTGCTTTCTCAGTGTTCTCTGCTAGATAAATTTTTGCTTATTTTTCATTGATTTATTTTCTTACGTTGCTTGATATGTATTTGGAGAAATGCTGGATCCATTATATACACATTACATCCTCGTAATTCAATATTATACTATGAAACGTGTTCTTCTATTTCGAACATTTAATTGATGCTAAAATATATTTTTTTCACTTACATGAAACTTTTGTTTAAACCTTTTTATATACAAGTATATGTAAATATAATCAATTATTAAAAAAAATTGCAAATATCTCCAAATATAAAACACAACAAATATTGAAAAAATGTCAGTAAATGTCTTTTTACTGATAAATTGTTATTTTGTCATCAATTAATTTTTTTAATGACAAAATAATAATGTATACAATCGTCAATAAACGTTATTTTATTGACGCATTTCATTTTTCGTCACCAATTAAATTTATTCATGACAAGTATAATTGTATGAAAAACGTTAGTAAAGACACATTTGCTGACGAAATATTTTACTTCGTCACAAACTATTACCGACGTTTTGTTAATATTTCGTTTCAAAAAGTATGCATTCCATGACATTATCAAGACCATGCAAAAACGTCGGTAATAGTAATATTTTGTGACGAAAAATTAACTTCGTCAGTAATACCTTTCCATACGCCGCTAACCCGACGGTCCGGGTGATGTTTTTATTTCGTCAGTAAAGACATTTGGCGACGCATTTTTTTTTTTACCGACGTTTAAAAAACGTCGCTAAATGCTAATATTCTTGTAGTGTGTGTCGAAGTAATCGAGGCCCTCGCGTTGCCTGTAACCCTTGATTACAAGCCTAGCCTTATACTTCTCGATGGAACCGTCCGGTTTCATCTTCCTTTTAAAGACCCACTTGGATCCTAAGGGTTTACTACCCGGAGGAAGATCAACCAGTTCCCAAGTGTGATTCTATAGAATAGAATCCACTTCACTTTTTATAGCCTCTTTCCACATTGGTTCTTCCATAGAAGTCACAGCTTCTACATACGTTCGAGGCTCGTTCTCGATCAAACAAGATAGAAAATAGGGTTCATTTTCTAATAAACAAGTTAGAGTACCCGAATCATACTCTAACATGTAAGTTAGAAAATCAGGACCGAATGATTTTCCAACTCTCGCCCGCTTACTGCGTCTCGGCTCGAGCTTGGGTTCTTTCTCAGATTCCCCACTATCATTATCCATAGTTTCGTCAAACGTTCGTTTTGACGTACTTGGTCCCTCGTTGGACCTACAAGGAAATATATTTTTGAAGAAATATGCATTCCTTGATTCTATTATCGTGTTCTCATGTACGTCCGGATTATGGGACTCGTGTACTAAGAACCGATAAGCACTACTATTATGTGCATAGTCAATAAAGATACATTCCACCGTCTTAGGACCTATCTTTACTTTCTTAGGTGTTGGCACCAATACTTTGGCAAGACACCCCACACTTTCAAGTACTGGTATGAAGGTTTCCTACCGTTCCACAGCTCATAAGGCGTTTTATCAAGCTTTTTGTGGGGTACCTTATTCAAAAGGTAATTACTTGTCAAAATCGCCTCACCCCACGCATCTTGAGGTAGGCCCGAACTTATAAGCATCGCATTCATCATATCTTTCAATGTAAGATTCTTTCGTTCGGCAACACCGTTCGATTGAGGTGAGTAAGGTGCCGTACGCTCGTGTATGATACACACACTTGCACAGAAGTCACCAATAGGTGCTTCGTACTCACCACCTCGATCGCTTCTAACCTTCTTAATTCTCCGATTAAGTTGGTTTTCCACTTCATTCTTATAAAGAATGAATTTATCAACGGCTTCATCTTTGCTTTTGAGCAAATACACATAGCAGTATCGTGTGCTATCGTCGATAAATGTGATAAAATACTTATTACCACCTCTCGTTTGTATCGCTCTAAAATCGCACAGATCACTATGGATTGTTTCAAGTGGTTCAGTTTCCCTTTCAACCGATTTGAAAGGTACTTTCGTTAGTTTTGCCTCAACACAAATTTCACACTTGTTATTTGTGTCAATTTAAAAGTTAGGGATATGGTCCATGCTAATTAATCTACGCATAGAATTAAAATTAACATGACCTAGTCTACCATGCCATAAACTGGAAGACTCAAGTAAGTAAACAGAATTAACTTTGCTTTTATTGATAACAGGAATTACATTGAGCTTAAAAAGCCCATCAGTTACATATCATTTACCAACAAACATCCCTAACTTGGACAAAACTACTTTGTCTGACTCGAACACCATGTGAAAGCCATGCTTGTTCAATAGTGAGCCAGACACAAGATTCTTCCTCAGCTCAGGAACATACAGCACGTTGTTCAACGTCAGTTCCTTCCCGGAAGTCATCTTTAGAACCACCTTGCCCATGCCTTCCACAGCAGACTGAGCAGAGTTTCCCATCCACACCTTTTCACCCTCAACGGTCTCAAAGGTGTTGAACATCTCTCGGTTGCAACACAAGTGCCTGGTTGCACCGGTATCAATGAACCACTCACGAGGGTTTAAGCCCACGAGGTTCACCTCGGTCACCATAGCCGAAAGGCTAATCTCGACCTCCTTCTGACTTCTATCTCCAACAACATTGGCTTCAGAACTCTTGTTCTTCTTCCTTGGAGCCTTGCATTCAGATGCTCTGTGGCCATGCTTGCCACAATTGTAGCATTCACCAGGAAACTTGTTCTTGGTAATGCCACATTTCGGACCTAGCTTTCGCTTGTCCTTCTTGTTCCTCTTGGAGCTCTTCCCGTGCTCCACAACATTGGCCTTGGCGCCAACAACGATAGGAACTTTCCTATCATTCGTCCTGTTCCCTTCCTTAATCCTGAGTCGCTGGATCAGGTCCTCCAGATTCATCTCCTTTCGCTTATGCTTAAGGTAGTTCTTGAAGTCCTTCCAACCTGGAGGCAATAAGTGGATCACAGATCCCACTTGGAAGGCTTCACTTAGCATCATGCCCTCGTCACGGATCTCATCGAAGATTAATTGCAAATCTTCTACCTGACTTAGCACGGTTTTTGAATCAACCATTTTGAAGTCGAGGAATCGGCCAACCACAAATTTCTTTGAGCCGGCATCCTCACTTCGGTATTTATGATCCAAAGCTTCCCACAAAGCTTTTGATGTGCTTATCTTTCGATATACATCATATAGCGTGTCACACAATCCATTCAAGATGTAGTTTCGGCAAAGGAAGTGCGAATCCTTCCAATAGCCAACCGCCATCACGGATTGTGCGTCTTGTTCCTTCAACTCGGGAACCTTCTCGGACAAGAACCTTGCCAAGCCGAGAGTTGCTAGGTAGAACAACATTTTCTGTTGCCACCTCTTGAAGTTCGAACCAACATCGGTGAACTTCTCCGGCTTTTTTGTCGAACCACTCGATACCGAAGGTACCCGAGACATGGGAATATATCCCTCAGTGCTCCCACCATCTTGTGAACCAACGTTCACTGGTGTAGCTTGGAAATTAGAAACATTGTTACCGTTTTCTCCACTGTTGTCCGCAACAACGTTATTGTTGCCGTTTCTTCCACTGTTGTCCGCAACAACATTATCCTCCCCATCGATTGGCAGTACGGGATGCTTCATTTTCTTCAAGGAAATTCGGAGAAGACCACCAACGGGAAAACAAAATATAAGGTTTTAAGACTGTTGGAATCGTTGGTAGAAAAAAAAATAATAATAAAAAATAAGATTATTATTTTCTGGAAAAATAGGGAAGGAAAGATGGAGAAATTTGGCTCGTGTTTGGTGTTGGGTTTTTGCAAGAGTCAAGCGATCACTCTTTCCTTAAAACCTTATTTGCCACCTCTCAAAGATGCTAGGAGCGTTGTGGCCTAGGCTTCCCATGATAAAACTTGCTATGATTCAATGTTTGAGCATTCAAACAAAGAATCCAGCGAGCAAGACAAGGTTTTGAACATAGTAGGCTTAGAAAGAGATGGAGTAGAAGCAGAATTTTGAGGCTTGAAAAACTCTAAGTTTCGTGTAGAGTGCTTGTGCTCTTGTGTGTAAAAATATGCTTCTCATTAATATGGCAATGAAAACTGACATTAAAGCTGACTTCCAACAGCTATAACAGCATGTCACTACCTGGGAATTGAATTCAGAATTCAAAACTGGAGTTAATAGGATATTAATTCCGTAACAGATGAATTCAATCCCCATAACAGTCAGAACTTTCGGGTTCCAGACCGTTGACGTGCAGGGTTCGGTCTCAACTTTCGACCTTTACACCTCTAGTGGTCACCGTTGCACGAAAGTTGTGCTCTCGGTGCACCACAACCTCTCGGTTTCCAGACCGTTGACGTGCAGGGTTCGGTCTCAACTTTCGACCTTTACACCTCTAGTGGTCACCGTTGCACGAAAGTTGTGCTCTCGGTGCACCACAACCTCTCGTGCTCTCGGTTTCGGCCGAACCAAGTGACTATGCCGGTTGGAAATTCGTGCCCGCAGGTGCCGCCTTTTTCAATCTCGTCTAGTTGGAATTTGATTTGCACCCCCCCCCCTCCCGCGCGAGAGAGCCTCTATGCTATACAATTCTACAAGCTTCAAAAGAGCTCTTGTATATAAGGGGGAAAAATCCTCATTCCAAACCAATGTGGGACAAAGCTCACTTTTCCCTTCCATTTTCCAACTCAAATGGGTCTACTTTGAGAATCAATATCTCATTCACCCATTATCTGTTTTGAGCGTACAATATATCGATCTCTTCGTCTCACTACGAAGAATCCGAATCCACTTTGACCCGACTCAAATCAGAAGTGGACCCCACTGATAATTATATCACAAAATAGCCACTTAACATGCCATTTTATGTCATTTTAAGCTATTTTTCCAACATATATATCTTCTTTTTTTTTTTTTTAATATAGTAACAATTTTAAATCCTTTAAAACTGATAAAGTCACATGAGACTGTTTCAGTGCAAAAACCAGTGAAGGTTTGCCATGAGCCTTATGAACTACACGACGGTTGTTATACCATGGACCATGGTCTAGAAAAGGTACCGTTTCTTTAAGTAAAAAATGATTGTCGTTAAATTTTAACAAATTTTGTATTTTTTTGTGTGTTTATAACAAAATAAAACTACAATGTATCTAAAATGAAATTGAATTACTTGTCTCGCATATTGTGTTTATATTTTGAAACTGTAATTGAATTGAAATGATACTTTAGTTGTATTGGAATGAAACTGTACTATGTATAAAATGAAACTGAATAACATGTCTCACATATGAAATGTATATTGTTAAATAGAATTGTAGTTGAATTGAAATGATACTTTAGTTTTGCTAAAATGAAACTACAGTATGTATAAAAAGAAACTGAATAACATGTATCACATATTGAGTGTATATTGTCAAATGAAACTGTAGTTATATCAAAATGATACTTTAGTTGTGTTGTAATGAAACTACAGTGTATATAAAATAAAACTGAGTAACAGTTTCACATATTTGAGTGTATGTTGTCCAATGAAACCGTAGTTGAATTAGAATTATAATTTAGTAGTGTTGTAATAAGACTACAAAGTGTATATAAAATGAAATTCAATAACATGTCTCATTGTAATAAGACTATTAATGTATAATGTCGAATGCAATTGTAGTTGAAACAAAATTAAACTTTAGTTGTGCTGAAATAAAACTACAATGTACATAAAATGAAACTGAATATGTTATACAAACAGAACTAATTACACGGAATGAGTGTCGTTTCCTTTCATTAAAAGAAACGACACCGTTTTGGACCGTGGTCCACAGTAAAATTTCCCACTACCAATCATTATATCGTGGACCAGGGTCCACAGTCCATTGTGGACCTTGATCCTAAACTGCGTAGTTTTGAATTTTAATTTTGATTGCGACCGTTTGGTATTCAATTCACGTTACATGTTTTTTTAATAATGTAAAGCATGTGTATGTGTCTTGTGTTGTATATTTCTGTGTTTCATGTTATGAAATTATGTATGTTAAGTAGCGTATGGATTTTGTATGCTTTTGTGTCTTGTGTTGTAAGTTTTTGTTTTTTGTGTTATGAAATTCTGTACCTTAATAGTAGTAATTTTGTACCTAAAATAAATTAAAATTTGTATTTGAAATGAGAAACGAGAAACTACAAAATATGGTAAAGTTTAAATATCAAAATGATGATGTTTTGATCCATAGTCCGTAATGCTATGTGAATCTTGGTCTATGATATAAATTGTCGCATCAAATCTGTGGTTGATGTCATTATTTTACTCATTCTAGTGTTTGGGTGTGCCTAAAAGCAAAGCAAATAAAAATCAAAGAATCAACGCCATTCCATTTGCCTACGTTTCATTTTTATTACTTAAATTACTTGCCCATCGTTTTCCCAATCCCGTCACCCTCACTCACTGCCCCACTCCTAAAGCAACGCTAATATTTATTACCTAATTCTATACCTCTAGCACTGCGTTTGGTTTCCTCAATCTCCTTACGGACAAAACGGAAAACTCCGTTTTTTTTTTTAAAATGATCATGACTTTTATTCTTTTTCTCGTCACCTCTGATTGATTTCCAATGTGCTAGCATGATGCCTATGTTACATAACCATGATGCTTAATGCGTGTGACTCTGAAACCCAAATCAATTGAAAGTGTGTAGTTGAGTGAAAGTGATTCATACGTATCTTTAATCAAACGTACGTCAATGGTTCAATCATTGACTTTGGGTATGGAGCAACTTATTGAGTTAATGTGTCTCTTACTTATAAGGGAAAACGTAATTTTTTTAGGACAAGTGTAATACTTTTATATTTTCATGTAAAAATATTATTATTTTTATTATCAAAAGTATTATATTTTTTCTTATAAGTAATGTTGACAAGTGTTTGTTACTTATAAAGAAAAGCGTACAGAAAAGTGTAATACTTTTATATATTTCCTCGAAAATATTACATTTTTCCATATAAGTAATAAATATTTTATTCCTGATTTAATATTACATTTACTAATAGATTATGAACTTAACTGATATTATTGATGTAAAACAATCAGCTTTAAATAGCATATAAGGGAGAGCACTGACAATAACTTGGTCTTGACGATACCAAGCTAAATGAGCCGGGTTGACAGAAGTTTGAGCAGGATCAGTGAATTTGGCTGGTTCCTTGGTTGTACATACCATCAATATAGCCAAAGAGATTAAACCCAACAAGTGTGGCATGAATTTGACGCCGCCACACTGAGAAATTCACGTTCGTGAGTTTAATTGGGAAGTGTGTTGGGGCATTTAATTGGATTATTGTGGTTGTAGTAGCGGAAGCCATTTGGAAGGGGAAGGAGAAAAAAAACTTCGTAGGAGAAATTAGGCTCTTGATACCATAATAGATTATGAACTTAACTGATATTATGGATGTAAAACAATCAGCTTTAAATAGCATACAAGGGAGAGAAGATAGTGAGTAGTTAGCATGTTATTGTAACAACCAGTCTAACAATGCTACATAAAAGGAATGCAACTAGATTTAATTATATATAAAAATATGTCAGCCACAGATATCCTTAACATTTACTAGTATAAGTATTACATTTTATCTTGATCCGACCTGTTTCACGGACAAGGATTTGTAAGGCGGTCTCATACAAATTTTTGCCAAACAAAAAAAAGAGTATGAGTAAACATATTTTAATTTCTATTTTCTTAATTCTCATTTTTTTAAATAATAAAAATTCCTTCAATTTAAAAACAAAATAAAGGGAGAATAATAGTACCTATACATTTTTAATTAATATATATTTTTAAATTCAATCTTGCTTTCCTTCCCTACCAAACACAACCTTTCACTCCAAGGTGATGCAAATATAAACGGCTGAGATTCACTCCCCGGCTTTCATTTTCCTCCCCACTCCACTCAAGAACTCCCCCCCTAAAACAAGAGAAGAGCGAGTAGTAGAAAACACAGATTTCGCAAGAAAACAAGATGCTGGGGAAGCGCGGTCGGCCTCCGTTCCGGCGAACCACCAGCATGACGGGGATCACCGTCGATTTGGGAAACCACGTCGAAGAGGGTCGGCCTCCGGCGCTCTTTGTAGATGATGAGTTCAAGGCTTTAGAGCAAGGACCGTCGTTGGAGCGACAGGCGGCGGTGGTGCCGAATGGGTATGACCTCCAGTACACGGCCATGGTTTCGCCGAGATACTACGCCGGTTGGAGGTCCACCGGCGATGGTTATAATATACAGACGGCCGATTTCTTGAGGAGTTGCGGCCTTTGCAACCGCCGGCTGACACCTGGCCGTGACATCTACATGTACAGGTACCAATAAAAATAAAAAATAAAATCCACTGCTCTCTATTCAATTCCTTCCCGAATCTTTTTAATGCTAAAATTAGAGGAATCTGATTTATTTTCAATAAAAATAACATAGTTATGAAATTAATTATATTTTTTCATTGTCAACTATTATGTAGTGTGATGATACATGTGTTACAATTTTAAATATGTGGTCACAGGATTAAACTCAGGTGCTAGGAGTGATTCTTTGGACTGATTTCAAAAAAATTTGAGAAAGTTTAAAACAGATACTACCTTGCAACAATTTGTTAAAAAAAAAAAATTATATTTCCTCATTATATTCTAGACTAATGTTAAAAAGTGATGTATGGTTGATTGCATTATTGCTCATCTATGATTAATTAATTAATTAATTATATATATATATATATATATATATATATATATATATTTCTGCTTTCTTTGACGAACAATTATATAATAATAATAATAATAATAATAATAATAATAATAATAATAATAATAGTTCTGGTTATAAAATAGGCACCGTAAATAATGTCTGTTCATCTATGTTTGACCTAGCTAGGTAAATTAATTAAAATTACGTGTATAGGGGTGACACAGCATTTTGTAGTCAAGAATGTCGGGAACAACAAATGAAGCAAGACGAAAGAAAGGAGAAGTGCAAAGTGAAGCTGGGAAACAAGGGCGAAAACCACCACAGTCTTTCTGAAATCTCCACCGCTAATTCAGACGCCGCTGCCGCCTCTGGCAATAACGAGACGGTGGCGGCCGCGTAAACAATGTAACTGCCGCCGTGCAAGCTATGGTGTAACGATATGTATGTATATACATACGTCGTACGTTTCCATGCACGCAACAGCGTTTAGTTTTACCATGATGAGCATATAATTACGAGTAATAATAATTATAAGTATGGTGTGGGTAACTAATTAAGGCTTTATTATATTGCGTTAACTTTCATGCAAGGATTATCAACTTTGTGTCTCCAACGTTTGCACTTGTTGTACCAAAGGTAATGTAGCTAGTATTTAGATCGTTCTCCCTGTAGTTAATGTGATGAAATTCTAATGTCAAATTAGTGATGTACTTACAATGGACCACTGAATCTTTTGCATACTATTTCTTAATGCATGTGGCTATGTGCGATTCCATATTGTACTCCGTATAAAATTTCATATGGCCTGAAGTACAATTCTAATACCATAGATCAATATTCATTTTGTATTGTCGACTCTATCTAAAAATTATGGTTACAGTCGACATATTCTGTACATGTAATTAACCGTTTATATGCTTATTTATAATTAAACTGAACGCACATATATAATATGGTAACTATAGACACATAATATAGTAATTATAATTTATGAACACATAATATGTTAACTGCGGACGCATAATATGTTAAAAGTGTTAATTATCGAAATGGTCCCTTGACTATAGCAAAATTACCAATTTGGTCATTGACTATTTCTTTTGACTAATTAAGTCCCTTAACTTTAAAAATCTTAACCAATTTGGTCCTCTGTTTGTTTGACCGTTAGTCAACCGTTAACTTGGGACCAAATTGGTGATTTGTTATAGTCAAGGGACCATTTTGGTAATTAACTTTAAGGGTGGCAATTCGGTTCAGTTTTCTCGAACCGAACAGTACCAAACTAGTTAGATTCGGTAATATACCGAACAACCGAACGGTAATAGATTCTTGTATACCTAACGGTTCGGTAAATACTCGAACAGAACTAAATTTGTTCGGTAAAAACCGAACTGAACCAAATACCGTTTGAACTTTGGATTGCTATTTTGTTATAGATTAGATATATTAGACTTTGGATTTAGGTTATGTAAACACCATAACACATAATATAGAACTTTTGATAACAAACCATAAAGAAATCAAATAAAACATTTACGAGAGATACCCGTGAGAATATGAGCTGAACGGCAGAGCAAGCAACACGAGACTTGGATTTACTTTTTATTTATTAATTTATTATTATTATTATTATTATTATTATTATTATTATTATTATTATTATTATTATTATTATTATTATATTTTATTTTTTTAAATCAAACGGTATTCGGTTCAGTTCAATTTTTTACCGAACAGTTCGGATCGGTTTTTTATCCAACCGCTCGGTATACAAAAATCCAATACCGTTCGGTTGTTCGGTATATTACCGAACCAAATTAGTTCGGTTCGGTTTGGTACTGTTTAGTTCAAGAAAACTAAACCGAATTGCCCACCCCTAAAGTTAATTACCAAAATGATCCCTAGACTATAGAGAAGTTACCAATTTTGTCCCAAGTTAACGACTGACTAACGGTCAAACAAACGGAGGACCAAATTGGTTAAGATTTTTAAAGTTGAGGGACTTAATTGGTTAAAAAAAATAGTCAAGGACCAAATTGGTAATTTTGCTATAGTCAAGGGACCATTTCGATAATTAACTCTATGTTAAAATATTATGTGTGCAGTTTGCATATATTGGCTCTGTTTACGCTTAGCTGAAAGTTAAAAATTGAAAAGTTAGTAGCTAAATTGTCTGGTAAAATTAATTGTTGAATTATCTATAAGTGTAAACAGACAAAAGGATAAACTAATTAAGATATTAGGATTTTGATTAATAAACGGTGGATGGTATCATTTTTATAAATTAATAAAAGATAAAAAGGTAGAAAAGATAAAAAATCATAGCTTATTTTAAAACTTTACTTGTGTCTTGTGGTAGGCTAGGTAGCTTCTCAAAATAAGAAGTATTATTTTAACCTCCCAATGTTTTACCAAAGAGAATTTATAGTTTATTTGTAACTCAAAATAAACTATAGATTCTAAAATAAACTCTACTAGAGCCATTTTACACACATCTATATTGTATATGCATGTAAAGTTATAATTAAATTATTACTCTGTATTTATAAAATGATGAATATATATATATATATATATATATATATATATATATATATATATATATATATATGCAAATGCAATAAACTTAATGCTCGCCTCACTTTAGGTCAAAGATGGGTGCCTAAAAACTTTAATTTATCAATAATAGAGTGATTACGTGATTACCAAGTAGTTAATTAATGCGGAACTTTTCAATTAATTAAAACATGACTAATTGTCAATTCTTAGTCTTAACTAGCCATCCTAGGCGCATTACCTTACCTTAGCTCATTGCTTCCGTGGTTTGAGCAACCCACATCCACTAGTACAAAACAAGCCATTCGCGTCTTTACTAATTGAGAATACGCGTCTTTTCTTATCAAGACGCGTATGGCGCAGACACTGATAGTTGGGTACTCTACGCCTCTTTATTTGGAAGTCGCGTAGAGTAGACTATACGCGTCTTTACTCTCTTAGTAAAGACGCGTATTCTGTTTTATAAAAATAAAAAAAAATTATAGGCGTCTTTACCATAAAGGTGAACACGCCTATAATTTTTTTTTTTTAAAACATTCTGTTTAATTCAATATATCTTTTCTACTAATCCTTGCTCAATAGAAAATCCACTACCAAACAACATTTATATGGTTTAAACCATTTGATACAATATATATAATCCAACATAGATAATTTTCTAACACTATATAATAATCCAATATTAATCTATCATAATATATAGTTATTTCATCTAAAACACATAATAAACATTTATATGCACTCATAAACATTTAAGGTATTCTTGTTCCAATGTTCTGACTTATTGTATTTAGTTTACCTCCTCATAATAATCCAAGACTAATAGATATGATGTAATTCTATCTAACACAATAAAAGTTTATACGCACCTATCAACAAAATATTTTGTCCATAACCTCCATATTTCATCTATTTCGTCAAGAAGACATCTTTCCACTTTTACGCTATGAGATCCTCATAAAACAGAAACTAGTAGCCTAGTAGGCAACTACTTATGAAGATAATAAATTAAATTAAAGTTTGCAGATTCATAAAAATATAATGAGAACTTTTGTAACATAAAAGGACATGAAAGGGGAGGCCAGTAAAAGCATTGGTGGAGATAATTCACATGATGATATTCACTATAGATCTATAATACATACACATGCATATGTGTGTGTATATATATTGTAGTCAGAAACTTTAATGTTTATATGCATGTCCTTTTTATTTTTTGACCATTCAAAAAGTTCTTAAAGAGAGAATTTTTTTTAAAAAAAATTATTTCTTGATTTTATATAAAATGATATGTAAATTATTATATTGTAAATTACCTGGATATCTTGAAGTGGGAGAGCAAAGATCCCATAGAAAGCAAATTAGCACAATGATCATATCTGACTGACTGTCACAGTGGTAAACATACTGCTGCATGGAACACTAACCTAAAAAAAATGCCACAAAACCTTTAATTTGTGTCACCATTCTCTAACATCAATTTTCTCAAATTCATTATATTCAAGCTGGAAACAAACAAATTAAACAAACATACATATACAGATGTATATATATGGAAAGAATTGTGAAAAGAAAATAAAGGTTAAAATAGGAGAAAATAAATAAAAATATCCACATTATATTATTGCAAAAACACAAGCAGCACTGATGGATCAATCTACTACCTGATCAGCATCTTGTGAAGGGGAAATTAAAGTTTCACAAAAGATGTTAGATTTAGAAATGGATATACAATATAACAATACTATAATACCATCCTCTGAACGAGTATAAAATGCATGCATCAAATGAATATCACACAAGTATAAAATCTGAAAGCAAAACAATTGGATAACTACAAAATTGAGTAAAATTAACAGAAGTTCTTTTTAAATGCACCACCTACTGCTCCTTCAGTACCATCTCCATCATCATCAACTCATGTATAGTAGTTGGAACAAACCTCATGTTCACATGTGCATCAAGGCAATGAATGTTGTAGATCCCAAATAATGATCTTCTGATCCATGCTTCTAATTGAAGCCCGAGGAGAGCTGCTAAGACAGTCATTTCAAGCTTCACCAATAATATTGAAGTAGTCTATATTATTACGTACTATTAATATGAAAACAAGGCTACAATGCATACCGAGGCTATATACAATCCAGTTCATCTCAAACGCCCATCAACTTCAAGAATCTTAAATCAGAATTGGAGATGATCTCCTACCAAAAGAACTATCACCAGGCATTAGCTCAAGAAATGGCACTAATCAACCATCAAAACAAGACTTAAATCACATACCTGCCCACAGTAATTCCAGGAATTCACATCAGCTCCATTCTCAAGCAACAATGCCACAATCTAAAACACAATTTACACAAATCAAGCACACTCCGAAATAGATGAAAAAGAACAAAACTTGATGGCACTGAAATGAAGGGAAAGAAAACGGCAGTACCTCATTATGGCCCTTAGCGGCTGCAAAATGAAGAGGAGAGTTCAGACCACCGAAAGTTGAGTACTTTGCCAAACATGGATTCCAATCTAGCAACATCTTGGCTTCTACATAGTCGCCGTCTTTGGCCGAAACCAATCTCTCTCCCGATGCAGAACAACCGAAGGAGTTCCCCATCTTCCTCCTCATCCCTCTCTCTCTATGGAAAATAGCTCAAATTTCACTATCAGAATCTAAATATATGGAGTGTATTTTAAATAGTAAATACATAAAAATTGTGTCTTCGTATTTTATATGTACCTTTGGTTGGAAGTGGCCAAGTGGGGTCTTCTAATCATTTTGAGAAGCGAACTTGAGAGACTTTCCGCCGGAGGAGTTGCGGGTAGAGGTCGACGCTGGAGACGGTGTTGAGATTTGAGAGGTGGAGGTCAGTTGGAGAGAGCGGCAGCGAGGTGAGGGGTCTAGGGTTTGAGGGGTAGGTGGGAGGACATGGCACGACGGCGATGAATCTGAGATGGGCGGCGGCGGCGCCTTTAGCTATTTGGGGGTTTTCTGAGATCTTCTGCTCGGGGTTTCAGTCATTTGCAGAGAGGTTGCTTTCACTGGCTCCGGCAGGAATGCGTCGCTGCTGCGGCGGCGTCCATCGGCTAAGTTGGGTGGGTGGGTGAGACCAGAAGGATTAGGGCTTGACGGCGCATAAGAGAATTGAGGTTTAGAATTGTCTGAAACTCTAAATACTCTTTATATACTTATATATACTTAGATATATTCACGCATACAATACTCGTCATTACCATAAATGTAATGACGTGTGTACTATAATAATTTTTAAAAAAATAAAAAAGCTGCACGATACTCGTCTTTACTATACAAGTAATGACACGTACAGTTTTAATATATTTACAAAAGTGCCACCGCTGGTTTTTTCCTTACTTTACGCGTCACTAATTTGAACTAAAGACGTGTAATGTTACATTTTTTTGGTCAATTCTCTACTAGTGATCAAATTGATGAATCTAAATAACAAAAAGTTAACACAAATTAAACAAACATTCAAAAAGAAATGAATGGCTGGGGAAGGCAGAAGGCTAGCTTGTAGAAGTTTTGTTTGTATATAGTTTTATATTGAGCAACATATACATTAATGGAGTACACATATTTCCAGAAGCCCGAATTTGAGCAAGGAATTGTCCTTGCATTTTGGATGATTATTGGAAACTAGACCAATCTTTAACACTTTTTTTTTTTTCTTTTTATCAAAACCATATCAATTTAATAACCCAAAAACTAGTTTGTACAAAGTCAAGGGGGCAAATTATTGTGTGGAACATGGTCCGCACGATGTTATGTGGACCATAACAAAAAGTACATTTTTAATATACTAAATTTATATTATTTTTATACTGTATGTACATTATACAATATAATATATAGCCAGTACAAAAATAATGTACATCCTCTGGATACAATGTACATTATTTTTGTACTGAATGTACATTATTTTACAGTATACAAAATAAGATCCATATAAGATACAACTTTTGTGCACCATGGTCCACACAATAATGATTGAGCCAAGGGGATAGGTCTCAAGCCCAAGAGAAACCCATCCACAAGTGTCCAAGTAAGAAAATAAAGGCCCGCACAATTTTGTCAAACGCTTAGACAAAATAACTATAAATTCCTAGGCTTAAAAGTAACCTAAACCTCATCTAACAAGAAAATGGCCATATCCAAGCCGCAACCACAAAATAGCAAGCAACATAACCATAAGGCCACACGCATCGCCAGGCGAGATAAACTAAGAACGTCCTGATTTAGCAAAAAATTCAGCAACATAACGACAGTTCCCGAAATATGGAAAAATGACGTAAGCGACCTAAAAGCCAAGCAAGCAGTAAAGAGGCACATAGGCCCACGAACTAGAACCAAAGGAGAATAGAGTGGCGCACATGCCTACGACCACCTGAAAGTGATCTTAAATCAAGTCGAAAGCCTTGTTCCGACCACTTTTAGTATCCGGAAAAGCCTTTGTTGCTATTTCTGACCACTTTTTAGTTTCAACTTGATTTAAGATCACTTTCAGCAGGTGGTCGGAAATTCCATAATTTTCAGTAGTCTAAAAAGAATGGCACATAGGCCTAAAGTAAACACAATGGCAACATAATTAAAACACAATGACACAAGCCTAAATTAACGAAAACACAATGACGAACTGTCCTAAACCAACACAAGATGCACATACGCCCAAAGCAAATTAAAGACATGAAGGAAAAATAATACACGATCAACAAGGGCTATTATCTGTACAATCAACACCACTATGAGCTAGTGTCCAATTCTGCACCAAGTAACTGCGGGCATGAACATGACAATTTGTATCGCTGCCATCATCACTTTGAGCAAGTGGCAAGCAAGTACAGGAATTATAGTCTGTACTAGCCTTCAACACTACCGGACTAGGCTATTGCAAACTGCCAATAGTTGTAGGGTAGTTTGAACTTACCACCATCACCACTTTGAGCAAGCGGCCAACGATATACCCAGGTAGGAACTAGAATTTTAGCTTTTACCCGCTACCAACACAGCCAGATTAGATTGTTGCAAACCGTCAACTGCAAGATAGTCTGGACTGCCATCACTCTTCAGGGTCTAACAGTGTTCTAATGAACCGCAATCACAAGGAAATAAAAACAAACAGAGGAGCTTGCAAAGCTAGAACATATATATATATATATATATATATATATATATATATATATATGTGTGTGTGTGTGTGTGTGTGTGTGTGTGTGTGTGTGTGTGTGTGTGTGTGTGTGTGTGTGTGTGTGTGTGTGTGCGCACGCGCGCGCGCGTGCGTGTTTGTGTTTGTGTTTGTGTGTGTGTGCGCGCACGCGTACTAGTCTCCCTTTCAGTTTGGATTTGCATGCAGTTATGCAAATTAAAACAAATTAATAAACAACCAATACATATAACTATTTTGAACTATTTTTTTTAATAAAATAAGTCTCACGTCAGGACTAAAGAAGTGGATTATATTGGATCGCATCTAGTCCCATACCCGCAACATCATGTTTTAGCATTCGTAGGAATGTAGAATACAAGACATTTGTCCATTAATCTTCTTAGCTTGAACCTGGTAAGAGTTGAGACTATATACAACAATTTTCAACTGGTAGTATACTATAGCCTATATGCCATTCAGAACATAAGATTTTGGCCCTGTTTGGTAACATAGTTTATCCGTCTATTTTAACTTATTTGACCACTATTAGTTGTTTGACTTGATTAAACAATCACTATGAGTGTTTGATTAATTAGCTTTTTGTAACAACTTCTTACTCCAAAATGCTAAAATTCAAAAAGTTTCTCAAAGTGGCTTTTTCGATAAGCTTTTTGAGAAAGTTATTTTACATGTAATCAGCTATCAACTAACAACTAATTTACCAAACACTTTGTTCACAATCACTAATGCTATCAACTAGTCAAACCTATTAACCCAATCAGCTAACAACTAAAAATTATTTACCAAACACCCCATTTATATGTAGTTCTCTAATAAATTTATGTACGGGAAATCATTTTTGAAAAATAGTGCAAAAGCTCCTGGCCATGGTATTTATTTACAAAATGTTAGAAAAATATCATAAAATGACATTTTAAGTGACTATTTTGTAGTACAAATATGTGGGGTTCATTTTCTATTTGAATCGTGTCAAAGTGGATTCAAGTTCTTCGTAGTAAGACGAAGAAATCAATATATATATATATATATATATATATATATATATATATATATATATATATATAGGATTAATGAGAAATTGATTCTCAAAGTAGACCCAATTTTTAATTTACCCCAGGCACAATAAAGCCAATCCGCATCCGCATCCTAGTCCTCTCATTCAAGGCTTCAGTGACACTTTACAGGACTGTGGTTTAATGGATTTGGGGATGGTGGGAAACCGGTTCACCTGGGAACGGGGTCGAGGCACGACTGCATGGGTGGAGGAACGCCTAGACCAGGTGGTGGCGACAATGGATTGGAGTGACATATTCAAGGATGTTGTTGTCAACAACTGCCTTACAATCACTTCCAACTACAGTGCCATCTTCCTTGATATAGAGGGCATTACTTTACGTAGTGGGTGCAAGAATTTCAGGTTTGAGGCAGCCTGGCTTCTCGATGAAGGCTGCCGTGACGTTGTGTAGTTTGCATGGGGACATGCTGCAGGGAAACCATTCCAGTTGAAGGTGGTGGAGTGTGGGCAGAGTCTAGCGAGATGGGGCAGCAAGCATTTTCCCAGGTTTGCTAGTAGGATTGGCAAATTGCGAAGCAAGATGGAGCAGATCCGTGAATGCCGCAATCCTGGGGCAGTGGAGGTATACACTGAGCTGGAGAAACAATTGAGGGTGGTGCTTGCGCAAGAGGAAACATTTTGGCGTCAAAGATCCAAACAGATCTGGTTGAAATGTGGAGACAACAATACCAAGTTTTTTCACAAGTCAGCAACAACCCGCAAACGAAGTAATCATCTACTAAGGTTGAAGGGTACACAGAACACATGGGTCGAGGGTACAATGATGGCTGCGGAAGTCATGCAATACTTTAACACTATTTTCACGTCCACTTTTATTTAGGCCGATTGGTTTCAAAGTGTGCGATGCGGGGTGACGGGTGAAATGAACACACAACTCGTGCGCCCTTTCACACAAGAAGAGGTCAAGCTGGCTCTTTTCGACATGGCCCCGGATAAGGCTCCAGGCCCGGATGGCATGACACCCGCTTTCTATCAACGCTTTTGGGCCATTGTTGGGCATGATCTAACAAATTTCGTCTTGAGCTGCCTAAATAACTGTACTATGCCAAATGGGCTTAATGAAACCAATGTTGTGCTGCTTCCCAAGAAGAAGGTCCCCGAAAGAGTGACAGATCTACGGCCGATAGCCTTGTGTAATGTTGCGTACAAGGTTTTGGCTAAGGTGGTGGCGAATCGTCTAAAGGAATTGCTGGATGCTCTCATTTCTCCGAGTCAGAGTGCCTTTGTACAGAATAGGCTGTTTTCAGACAATATTGTGGTCGCGGGGGGATTGGGCACTATCTTCGCCGAACACGTCAAGGGGCTACGGGTTGGGTAGGGCTCAAACTCGATATGGCCAAAGCTTACGACCGCATGGAATAGGGATTCTTGGAGGGCATGCTAGTTGCACTTGGGTTCGCCCGAGGGTGGGTTGACCTGGTGATGCTATGCGTGACTACCATCCATTATACTATTCAGGTTAACGGGAAACCGATCGGCACAGTGATGCCCACGAGGGGTATTCGAAAGGGTGACCCGCTCTCTCCACACCTGTTCATTCTCTATGCGGAAGGCCTCTCCATTTTGTTATAGAAGGTGGAGGCGAGGGGTGATATCTATGGCGTTCGGGTGGCAAGGGGTGCACCCTCGATCACGCACCTCTTTTTCACGGACGACAGCCTGGTGTTTTTTCGGGCAAATCAACGGGAGGTGCAAGCAATTAAAGGGTGCCTGGATCAGTACAACCGAGCCTCTAGGCAGGTTGTCAATTTTGACAAATCTAATATTATTTTCAGTTCCAGTACACTAGACACCATGCAAGCACTTGTCGCGGAGACTCTAGGAGTACGACGCACGGACGACCTGGGTAAATACCTTGGTTTACCTTCATTTTTGGGACGTGACAAAGCAGCAA